ATCGTCAGTTAGCTGAGATTATTTCCGTTAATCTGGTATAACACATTAATAGGTTCTTAAATATTAAGATTCCCTGAGACACAGTATCGTGAAAAATTTTTTTTTTACATTACGTTTTTTATTAAATGAACAACAGAAAAATAATCGTTAGATTAGTCGACTAATCGATCAAATAATCGCCCGATTAATCGTTTTCAAAATAATCGTTTCCCCCCAGCACTAAGATCCAGACAGATACTGCTATGGCTGAGCAGTAGTGAATTGTGTGTAACATTCACACATGTCAATGGCTTTTCTAAATTGAATCTGGCTTTTTCTAGGATCAATATTTTAGGAGAGGGTCCCAGTGCAATGCTTTGGGCGATACTCAGCCACCATTTTTCAGCCGACATCAACTTTTTTTTCAAAATATAAACAGTTTGCCCTATTTAATAAAAGTGTTCACTCCTGGATTTACTCTGTATAATATGTCAACTCTGGCTTCTGTTTTATTGTGCAAAATGTGTTATGGAATTGCAAGGTAAATTGTAGTTTAACACTATAATAAATAAACATGATGACTGTGTTTTATTTCTGTAGAATTGAGAAATGGTGACTTGGTTGTAGCTCTACAAATGGGTTATGGATTATCCATGTGAGTAAAGTGCTGCTGTAAGCAAAGTACTCCTAATGTTTGGCAATGCCAGACTTCCACATATACTTGCTTTAAAATTAAATACAAACCCTCTAGAGAAAAGCTCAAGAGCAATGGATACAACAAACTAAATTACAAATAATGACCTACCACCCATCATGGTTGATTATTTGTATTTGTTTTGACATTTTGAGCCACTACGAGAAGTACAAATTATAAAAGATGTGGTCACAGCATGACTTAAAACCTCTAATGACCGATACCATAGGAAAAGTAACAAACGCTAAATGAAGACTAAGCCATGACCCTTTCAGAACCACTCCTGAACCTGATAGGAAACCAGGAGATAATTAAATACAACCACAATCAGTTTATCTGCATTCATGGGCTTTAGCATCAATTATGCATGAAATTCTAAGTGCGTAAGCCATTTCCATAAACTAACGTCAGCAATTTACACTGCTTGTTTCCCAGCGTGTGAAAACAGGAGAGATTAAGACTGCAACAACAAACGCTCCAACATGCCTTAAAGGAGGAAGCCAACATTACAACTGAACCACTGTTTCCCCGAGCTGAAACATTTATAGATATCCACACAAGTTTACACTGCACCTTGGATTATTGTCTTTGTTGAAAAAATATTCATTATTATGTTTATTATTATGTTACCGCGGTGAGGCCATCCACTGCCTGAATTTCATTGTTTTTGGAATATCGTTTTTCTGGTAAAGATGGCCTTGAGTGAGGCGATGGTCGTGAAAGATAGGGGAGCGTAACCACGGTTCTGCACCAGGCAGCTCATGATACTGAAGACTTGTAAAGGGGGGTATTTAGTTGGTTGCATTCTGCATCCTCCCCACTAGATGGCACTAAATACTAAACACTAGAGCTCTAAGTAGTTCCCTGATACTTTCCAAACACTATAAGTAAACACAATTTTTTATTGACATATAAATGAAACCTACAAAAATGTTCACAAAAAGACGATTATAGACATATTGACAATAGTATAAACCTTATATAGATCCTATTCTCAAACAATTCTCAGTACAGTCTTCATCAATCAATTTTAACCAATTATAATGCGTCCACCACAAAGTACTTCACTCAATTAACCCCAAAACAAATTATATATATCTCTGATCATGTGATAGAAAATGTAATAAAAGCATACAATATATATACTTTTAAAGGGGAGAAATTCATTTAAAAACTCATCCCCTTCTAAGCTCCTGGAAGTCTCAGGCAGTGCTGCCTCTCTGGAGGCTACCCAGAACTCAGCAGGCAGGCGGCAATCACAACCTATCAGCACGTCTGCTGCAAAACGATGGGCAGAATACAAAGCAGAGGATCAGAGATAAAATAAAATAAGGCAGAGATAGATTTATTTCCGCCCGTGTGGAGGTTAGAAGTTTGACTTTAGTCAAGTGGATTGCTTTTCTTGGCTGAGAACAACTACACTGCATGTCATGTTTTTTGCTGTGTCTGGTGAACTAGTCAAGTAGCCTTGTAGTTTTGCTGAAATTATGTAGTTACCTTGCACTGCATACCCGCGACATTACAAAATCACAGAAGAATCAAAAGGTCAAGCAATAATCAATCTGGTCAGGCTACAAGTACTGTTATACAGCAATGGCAGGTCATAAAGAGTTTAACATAGATAATACAACAGCATAAGTTACATCAGAAATTGAGAGTATCGTCTTTTGCCAACTGACTTCGCCAAGATATTTATTGGCTAGTAGGAGCACTTGCAAAGTATTTGTAAGTTTCCAATGATGACTTATCAGATGATCTTGTGTAAACAAACCATCTGGTGCTTCAGGCTAATTATTTAGAGGTCAATCAGGGTTTCACCCACATCCAACTCCTCCCATACTCCCAATGACTCACAGGGTGAATGCACTTTCACAATACCAGACTACAGTGGTTTGTGGTGTCTTAAAGCTGGTGCAAGTGTGTGTGTGTGTGTGTGTGTGTGTGTGTGTGTGTGTGTGTGTGTGCGCGTGCGTGCGTGTGTGTTTGTGATTTGTCATTACGATGCCCCCGGGGCAGAGCAGGACAGGATCTTCTAACAATCTGATTAGCCAGCTTTCATTTGATAGCAGCATGCAGCAGGCCCAGTGACCAAGCTAAAAACAGACATAACAGCGGGGGAATAAAGGGGAAGCGGTAGTGCGTTTCAGGAGCAGTAAAGTTCCAGTCAAGTTTTTATAGGTCATATGTAGCAGTAAGAATATCATAAATAAAGAGTTCCAACTCAAACGGTTGGCTATTAGGAATGTCCATTTCCCCCTATACTGTAACTGAGTGACAAGCTCCTTCATTTCAGGTATTAGTAGTTGTGTGTGATAAATAAGGATACGTTCAGCACTACCCTCACCAGTACAATTACATTCGCTTTAGCAGAGGTCTAGGATGTACAAGCAATGTTTATTTAAAAGATGACTCTTCTCTTCCTTCCTTTCTTCCTAAATACTTGCATTTAGTAATTTTGAAAAAGAACACTTACACAATACAATACATACCATATGAAAAACATGTTTTTTTCTAGCATTTACTGAAACCAATTACTGCCCACCAGCCTATGCTGTTTGTCACAGCAGTAGGCCGTTCTCTGTAGCTCTGAAAATAAAATGCCTCGGGTACTACTTAATGCAAATCCTGCAGTGAATCAGATATGGTGGTTCCACTGCAGCAATTTCTCATGTGTGAATAAGAATGGAGGCTTGGAGGATTGGTAGAAATCGATGGTCCTGATGGAGTTAACAGATTCATTTAGAGAGAGCAGTTAAGACTTTTGCTGTGTGAAATGCTTTATTTTAGAAAGGCGATGTGTTGTAATATGTTGTTTCTGTATTACTAGTTTGAATTGTTTATGTCTTGTGTGCTATACTTGTTATATTGTTTGTTGTGGGTTCAAACACATTTATTAAAGATCAATCCGTCAGTATGTTACTTAACTGAACACATTATAAAACTAGAACAGTACTCCTAGAGTTCAGGTCTCGACCAAGGCTGTTTCCTAAGTAAAGCTTTTTAAGTTTTTTTCACCACGTCTTTAAGCAATCTCAATAACTAATTTCAACCTTCTAGAAGTCGTGTTAACTGCCAAAACATCCAGGTGTTATCCTTTTACTTTGCCATTGTCATATATAATGGTTATAGGCCTGAAATAAACAATTCAAATGATGAGGATATAAATGATTGTATTTTATTTCAATATTTTATTTGATGAAATATATGTAAATTATATGCATTATAATCCGCTTAGAGCTAGTTTAAAAAAGGTTAAACAGTTCATATTTCCCTTTCTTCCGTCTGTTTTCTATTGCCCCTAAGTTTTACTAGATTTGATTTAAAAACATTGTCATGTACAGTACGTTAGCCCATTAAGAATTTTGACTGAAAAAAGCATCATAATGTCAAGTCATTAGCTGATAGCTCTGAAATTCAACTAACGCTAACCAGGTCTTCTACTGTGGTCTCAACTACCATTAGTTGTTCTAAATGTGGCATTAAGAGTGACCAAGGAATAGAAAGCATTAATCGCTCAATCACATATTTGTTCTGGATATCAGCCGATATCAATCTGCAACTCATCAGTCTGGTTATAGTTTAATTATTTTCTAACAGTTTTGGGTCAAAGAAGTTGCTAGATGGACTAGCCTTACTTGATAAATGGGCAAACGTTGATATGTGTGTTGTGCTGTTTCTCCATATTCCTTATGGCAAACCAACAACAAACTAACAGAACTCACCAAAAGCACATTTATCTTTATTTCATGTATTTGGCCACTTGGGGGCAGTGCAACAAGTTGCTAACTAAATATTGACATATTATCACCTTATGTATTTGATGTGACAAATGTGTTTGAGAACGGTCGCTTGAAGACTTGAGACCGAGGCATACAGTATGTACTGAGCAGTGCTTGTGATTTAGTGTTCTCTCGGGAAAAACTTTATAAAAACTGCTTCTGAATGAAAGAAATTATAGAATTTCTGTGTTTCAGAAATGTATCAAGAGCTTAAATAAGACAATCATTGGTTTAACTTGTTTTCTTTTGAAGGAAACAATGTAAGAAAAAGCCAGATATTCACAGAAGAGCTGCACCCGATCGGATTTTCTAGACATCTCTGTGTTTTGACTGTTTTGTTGATGTGAGCGGCTCCGTCTCCATGCACACTTTAGCGCTGCATCTCTCTCTCCGCCCTCCCTCCAGCGACACACACATCCTCTTTCTCCTCCTCCTCCTTTCATTCACACATTCTCTCCCTATCCTCCTCCTTTTTTCTGCCCGCCTGCTCCTTACCGTTTCTCCTCTACCCTCTCCTCCCTCTCTCTCTACTCCTCGCTCCCCTCCTACCGTTTGGACTGCAGCAGTCTCTCCTCAGCGTCCTGCCTTTCTCTCAGCAGCCTCTGCAGGTGAAGGATCTCCCTCTGGTAGGAAGCTGTCCTCCCCTCCGCTGCCTCCTCCAACCCTGCCAGCCTGGTTGACGCTTGGCTCCGGTACACCTGCACATACAAACACACATAAACACACAGGAATGAGATGTGGAGTGTTGCTATGAAGGAGGAGGATTTCCATGAAGGACAGCGCAGCAGAGACAACTGGAGTGGAGGAGGGGGAGTCACACACATTGGGACAAGGTGAGGAACGACACACACACACACACACACTAAACTGCAGATCTGTGGAAACGCTGGTGTGGCTGCATCTGTATGTCTAAGGGCTTATTTGTTTGGGTGTGTGTGTGCAGCCAATGACAGTTCTAGACCGGAGTTTAAGTCGTTGTGTCAGCAGATCAGCAGCTGTTGAGCTGCGGACAGTTCAGAACTACTGCAGTTAGTGCAACACACACACACACACACACACACACACACACACACACACACACACACACACACACACACACACACACACACACACACACACACACCCACTCATACAAGTGGCCTACATGTTTCCTGTTATACGGAGTAACCTCAATTCATGCAAAATAAAAGCCTTATAAATAAAGTCAATAAAGCAATAGAAGGGCAGTTCAATGAATGAAAGAATGAAAGAAAGAAAACACTGATTAAGATGCACAAAATAGAAACAGAGAGGGTGGATTTTGCTGCTCTGCAGTTAGAGATGTATTCATGGGGAAAACAAGGTCTGTCTGAGGACAAATGCTGTGTGTGCTTGAACTCTGTGTGTAGGAGTATATTACTGTCTGCTGGATAAAGGGTAACACAAACAAGTTGTTCTGTTACTCTGAATGATTATGGATTCTCAAGTAGCCGGGCTTGTCTGGATATGACTCCGAGATATTTTGTACTGGAGCAGTTAGTCTTGTGTTGTATTACTTGTTATATATTTAATATCTATTTCAGCCTATTCCTTCTTTCTATCTAGTAATGATGATACCAGATGAGGTGAGCTGTAATTATCTATAAAGATAATGTACACACAGCACATTTGACCCCCGACTGATCCTGTCTATTGTACCCAGAAAGCAACAGGGAGCAAGCACTGAAAACATGGCTTCTCTTTACAGAGCTTTTATCAGAAAACTGCCAACAGATATCAAATGCTTTTTTCTTAGCCAACGAATCACAACCAAGGAGACATTCAACATAAGTGCCACATTAGTGCATCAGGTAGATTAAATGAATAGTTGAGTGAATTACTTTTTCAATGACTTTAGTCCTATTAGTGTTGTCTGTGAATAACTTGTTAAAAATCCTCTGGAATGTCATGATTAACTCTATTACCTCTTCCATGAGTAAAAACAATGTTATTGCCAGGGGTGCACATCATTTTTTGCCCTGGTTCTCAAAGGAGCACCTGGAGATGTTGCTTGGTGCTCATTCTTAAAATGAAATAAACCGTAACTTTTGAGGGGGTCTTGACTTTATTTGCCAGACACACGGCACTGAACACACATGCAGAGGTGAACACAGAACACACATGCAGAGGTGAACACAGAACACACATGCAGAGGTGAACACAAGACAACATTAGCACGACCAGTAATCCTACAAGCTGTCATCACTACCCTCCTGACTGTTCTCCTCACTGTCTTCCTCTCTGTCAGACATGGTAGCTGATGATGTAGGCCTACTTCTTCCTCTCTGGTTGAGTCTGCGATTAGCTGCTTGAATCCACAAGTCAACAGCTGGGTTTGGGTCGAAAGTCTCTGTTGTGATCATCTTAGACAAGTGGATGTAATCAAATAAGTATGTGAACATAACCAATAACCTACCATAGCCAATAACAAATGAATGTAACTTATTTTATTTGCGTTGTTCATTCATATCTTATTTTATAAGAATAGAGGTGCTACAGCACAGGCAGTATGAGAAACATACAGAGCCTTTGGAACATTAAAGCATGGAGACATGTCACAGTAGAAAAGTTCAATTATGAAACCTGAAATCAAGCATATAAGGGTGACTTCATTCTTAATTGACCCCTGCCTTAGAAAGATGAATTGCTTTCAAAGAGGCCACCTAATGAAAAACATAAACAAAATAAATATATTATCTTGGATAGACTTGAGAGCTAAGAGCATGTGAACATTTACTTTTGCAGTGAGTTAAAAGCACGTTGGGTCCAACTAAGTTTAACAGTGGGTATTGTCTTTTTATTTCCATAATCAAAGGGTAGTATTACTTCAACATGGCTAGAAACAGTTGCAAAAATGGAAAAGCACCTGTTTTCCAAGAAAATCTATTTACTTGGAACACCAATAGTCCACCGAGGAAATGTACTCCTAATAGAAGAAAATTAGACCATTATCCGTCACAAATGAAATCATCATATATTCATTTTCCTAAGAAAATGGCACCTCCTACATCAGAGGGGACATGACTCAGATCTAGAATGTGTGCTTTCCATGCATTTGATGGGATTAACATCAAGTTCATAACGAAGCTTTCTGCCTTTTCCTATCGACACATTAATTGTTCACTTTGCTAAGAACAATCTACCTGCTGAGCATTTTAATCTATCAGACATAATTACAGAGCCGAGAACCGTGACAGAGTAATATGACGTTTATGAGCAAATCATCAACATGGATTAGGTAGTGAAATACACTTACAGGCCTATTTAACCTTACCCTGACAATGAAATGTAAAACATCAAATCAAATTGTATGTATCTAGCCAGATTTGAATTAGGGGCTTTACAATCTGTGATGCATATAACATCTTCAGTCCTTAAACCGTTGCAGTGGCCAGAGAAAAAATGAGAATGAATGGGGGTGGTAGCCTGATCGTTAAATTATAGATTATATATTTGAAAATGTTTGGTTGGACATACAATTAATAGGATATAAATCTCGACTGATACAAAGAAGGGCTAAAATAACTACTATAAAATATGACCAATTAAAGAATACAAATGATGACTGTATGACTTATTACATTATTGGTAACAGGCATAGATTTATGACCTCATCCAAATGTAAAGTCATAATTCCCCAAAAGCTCTTTAATTGTGAGTCGGCTTGTTTTATCACATATTTACCTTGCATATAGACCGAATATGTTAAATGACAAAACCTAGATTGTTTTCGTTTTCTTTCTTAAGATTATCTCTATGATACTGACTACCAACTGCATTCTGAATGCTAGACAGAATGCTGTGTTTCCCAAAAGGTTGTGTATAGATCAGACTACAGATTGTAAGCAGTCAATATGCAGACAGATAATATACATACTGGGAGTGAAGCAGTCAATCAAAGTGTCACAAGTAATGTTTGTGACTGATTAAGTATCTGACTTGGAGTTGATTTACTGACATTTACCAAACACTGAACTGGTGTGTGTGTGTGTGTGTGTGTGTGTGTGTGTGTGTGTGTGTGTGTGTGTGTGTGTGTGTGTGTGGTGTGTGTGTGTGTGTGTGTGTGTGTGTGTGTGTGTGTGTGTGTGTGTGTGTACTAATCCTGTTGTAGGGACATCAATCCGTGTACACACTCACATTGGGAGGACTGCCCTTCCTTTTTAGGACAAAATGCAATCATTACATTTTGTAACACGGTTTGTGTATGTGTGCGTGTGAGCGAGTGAATGTCTAAGAATGCAATTGAATACTATACAGTTGATGACCACACTGCTGTAATTACACAAATATAATTATAACTGAAAAGTAAAGCTAAAACGTAGTGCATCAGTATAACACAGAATTCACCTTCTAAATTACGGGCCCACTAATCCTGCAAAAGTGACACACTCGCCTCTCTTCTACCACCGACCGCTTTTCTACGAAGAGTATTCAGGTGGTTATTAGTTGGCAGCAACTGTCATCAGCCACCGTCCTGCTGTGGTCTGACGTGCTTCGCGGCCAGTTATGACAGGCTATTTCCTCCTTCCCTATGTCACAGACAGAGATTGGGAGCTTACAAGATCTGACTCAGATTTCTCAGCGTTTGAGATAGTCATAAAGTAAAACCACGGCTGCCAATAATTGAACCAGCCATCTCCCAAATGTCATGAGAAAACTACCAATATGTCTTAAAGGGGCCCTTTTAATGCTAATTTTCACGATATTTTTTAGCATTTTGTTCCTTTGCTGTGACCTGTTTACATGCTATAATGTTTAAAAAGGTCTTATTTGTGTCATACTGACACATTTTCACTTAGCCAACACATTTAATGTCTTGGAGCGCTAGCCAATAAAAGTGTGAGTGCTGCATAGTGTTGTCCCATGTTAAGTAAACAGGGGAGTCCAGTAGGGGCGTTTCAGAAGGTTGGGGGGGTGAGCTGGTGGGAACTATGGGATTTTAGCCTTTTGCAGACCACACAAACCTATATAACACACTACAGGAAAGGGAAAACCAAAAAAGTATAACTGGGCCCCTTTAAGAAGACCAAAATAACCAATATATTGACCAATATAGCTGTAACTTAAAAGGCTTTTTAATTTATTTAATTTTGCAATAATCTTGTCAAATTTTAAACATACTGTAGTGTCAACGGTTAATAAAAAAACATTAGAATGTTTTAAGGTATTCATGAATGTACACTGAACAAAAATATAAACGCAACACTTTTGTTTTTGCTCCCATTTTTCATGAGATGAACTCAAAGATCTAAAACATTTTCTATATACACAAAATAACCATTTCTCTCAAATATTGTTCACAAATCTGAAAAAATCTGTGATAGTGAGCACTTCTCCTTTGCCGAGATAATCCATCCCACCTCACAGGTGTGGCATATCAAGATGCTGATTAGACAGCATGATTATTGCACAGGTGTGCCTTAGGCTGGCCACAATAAAAGGCCACTCTGAAACGTGCAGTTTTGTTTTATTGGGGGGGTCTGGGGAGGTCCGAAAACCAGGCAGTATCTGGTGTGAGGGGTAGGGGTAGGGTTAGGGGTAGGGTTAGGGTAATGTTGTGAATTGAGTGGCCTGTGTTCGTCGTCCATAACATACGCCTGCCCATACCATAACCCCACCACCACCATGGGCCACTCGATTCACAACATTACCCTAACCCTAACCCTACCGCTACCACTACCCCTCACACCAGATACTGCCTGGTTTTCAGACCCCCCCAGACCCCCCCAATAAAGCAAAAATGCACGTTTCAGAGTGGCCTTTTATTGTGGCCAGCCTAAGGCACACCTGTGCAATAATCATGCTGTCTAATCAG